TCAGCGTCATAGCCCTAAGCATCCCCTAGGCCCTAAGCCTCCCCCTAAGTGCAGACCTCAACCTCAAACCATGCCACCCCGCAGGATTCACAGCAAAGTGCAGAGTGGTTCCGCCAAGCCTCCCACTGCAGGAGTTCGGAACACCTCTATCAGCGCCATTGCACCGAGCATAGGCTGCCACCCTCAGAAGTCAGCTCAGCCTCTGCCTCTAATCAGCTCACTGCGAATCACTCCGGTCCCAAATCCGGTGCCTGCCTTACCCTGCTTATATTGTACAGTATGATTCATCAGGCAGGTGGGGTGAGGGTTCCTCCTGGCTTCGCGGCAGGAGGGGAACCCGTCGCTACGGTGGCGGGGAAGCTTCGCGACCTAGTGCCGCCTCAGGCGCCAGTTCCCCAGATACCTGGTATAAGCCTTCCCAAATCAACCAAACGATCATTTCGCAGAGCCCGCAATCGTGCTCATGCCTCCCCACTCAAAGGCACCTGGTACAAAGGCAAGTGGCAATCAGCAGCCACCTTGGGTCAGCTCCCGAAAGCCCTCCCCAACCTCCCCAGGTCTGTTGCCAGACGAACGGTGCCCCGTTCACGGACCGACAGGCACCTTCGGATTCTTTCATGGAACGCAGGTGGGTTGTCCAGCTCTACTTACCAGGAATTCCTAGCTTGGAGTGAGACATGCACCGATCTGGATGTAGTCGTCATACAAGAATCGCACTGGCACGAAACCCCTGACTACTATGCCGGACCATGGCTTGCTCTACACACCTCGGGTCGACAAGACCCAGACGGCTTTGGCAGGAACACGGGCATCTTGTTCCTTCTGCGGCGCAAAATCTTCCGGGACCCTCGCTTCCTGGAGGTAAGTCCGGGACGACTAGCTCTGGTTCAGGCCACCCACAGAGCCACCCAGCTTCCTGTTAGCATCGTTGGTCTATACCAGCATGTTTGGCGCACTCATCTTACTTCTTCTCGCAACCGGGAGCTGCGTCAAACCATTTGGACCCAGCTTGAAGCTGCCATTCTTCGCGTGCCAAGCAGGCATGCATTGCTGATCTGCAGCGACTTCAATTCCACGCTGACCGCCGAACCGCCACTCGTTGGCAGTGCTGTTCCCAAAGGGTCTTCTAATACAGATGACGGGCTGCAGGCCCTCTTGTATAAGCACTCGCTTTGTGCGTTGAACACTTGGCACTGCAAGCCGAACAGCACCTATCATTCGTCCACGGGCAAAACCCAGATAGATTATGTGATTGCACGCAATGCTGATACGGGACGCCTAGCCCGCACTGCCTACCCCGATCACTCCTTCCCCATAGGCGGTGATAAGCTTAGTGGTCATTACCCGATACGAGTCCACTACCCGATGCGCCCTTTCTCGCAACGACGTGCTCGTCTAGCACCGTCACCGGCCTACGACGCCCAAGCCCTGTGCACAGCCGTCCGCTCCCGAGCCCCGTTGGCTCAGGAGCTGCAGCAACGCATCGGCCTTCGGCTGCAGGACATAGATGCGTCGGTGCTTTCCACTGCACATCAGCATGTCAATCGCATTCTCCTAGAGGAGACCTGTGCTCTATTTCCTGCCCAAGCGGCGCCGGACAACCGCATCAGCGCTCAGCCTGCCTTCCGAACCAATGCCCGTGCTGTGTGGAGTCTCTATCGTGACCTCAAACACTCAGGTGTGTGCACCTTTCGCAACATCTTAGCTAAGTGGCGCCTGGCCACACAGTTTGCCAGAGCCTCAAAGGCACTGCGACGCGACAGTCGTCAGCTCAAGCGTCAGTTCTATCTTGCCCAGGTGGAGGCCGCTGAACTTGCAGCAAGCCGGGGTGACCAGCGAGGATTGCACCTCATTGTCCGTAGACTGTCTCCGCGCACTCGCCAGCTGGCAGGCAGACTTCGTGATGACTCTGGTCACCTCCTCACCCGAGACGAAGAACTCGAGGCAATCATTAGGTACGGCAATGCCACCTTTGCCCGGCACCATGACGATCACCCGATCCTCCCGCTTACTCAGGACGTCCACATTCCGGCCGCTGACCTTGCCGCCGAGCTCTCGAAGCTAGGTGTGGCCAAGGCTGTTCCCAAGCACATTGCTCCGTCTGCAGCCTGGAAGCTCTGCTCCTCTGAATTGGGAGAGGTCCTTAGCCGGGCCTTGGATATGCATCTTCGTCGGGGCACCTCTGCCCCCTTGGCCGGCGACTGGCAGGACTGCAGTGTAGTTTGGATTCCTAAGCCCAATAAGCCTCCACAAGGCATCTCATCCTTGAGACCCATTGGGTTATCAAGCCCCGCCAGTAAGGCCCTGGCTGGTAGTCTCCGCGCACAGCTGCTCAATGCACTCACCCCTTGGCTTGCCTGCATGCCTCAGTTCGCCTATACCAGCCACAGAGGCACTGCTGATGCTATTGCTAAAGCTCACAGCCACTTCGAAGCCGTCACAGAGCTTATCAGCCATACGAGAATCAATCGCTTCCAGCAACAGGCTGGCAGCAAACCGCGCGGCTGCACTGGAGGCGTCAGCCTCTCCTTGGATCTTTCCAAGGCCTTCGACGGTGTCAATCGATCTCATATATATCAAGAGATGCAAAAGCAAGGAGTCGACTCATCCATCATTACCATTGTTCAGCAGCTACACCGCAACGCCAGGTACATCTATAGGGTTGGTGAAAGTCAAGGCTCCACCCTCACCACCAATGGCATTAAGCAGGGCTGTGTCATAGCACCATATCTTTGGAATTTCTTTTCCCTTGCTTTTCTTCTTCTCCTGCGGGACCAACGGGACCTTGAATGGATCCAGAGGGTGCTCTCACTCTTTGCCGATGATGTTTGGGGAGCTTGGATTATTTCCACTAGGCTCGACTTTCTGACTGCTCTTTCGGACATCACCCTCATCCTTGAAGCACTTGAATCGCTGCACATGACCGTTAACTTTGATAAGACCGCTATCCTTCTTCACCTCGTCGGCAAGGACTCCCGCAAACTTCGCCGCGACCACACCTTCAT